CCATCTGCCTCATATCACACATCTAAATTGATGTGATGCTATTAAAACCCAGGTGTCCTGATTCTGTTTGAGTGCATTTGAATTATTTAATCTGGGTCTAGATTCAAATCCTGGTGCTACTACATGTGACTCTCTGGATTTTAGCAAGTTGTTAAACTCTCTACCTTGCCTGTAATATTTGTGAAATGGGAATAATAAAAATACCTGAGTGTTCCTGTGAGGATTAAATTAGGTGATACTAGTAATTTTAAAATATTTTTTATTAGTAGTAGTAAGTGAAAGGCATCATGATTACCTTCTGCAGTGGTTCTAGAAACAGTGAGCCTGATCTAATTCTGTTAGCCAATTCTGGCAGCTGCCTATGTTTGTAAATAAAGTCTTATTAGGACATAGCTACATCCATTCATTTATGCATTGTCTTTTGCTGCTTTCCTGCTACAATGGTAGAGTAGCTGTAATAGAGACCATATGGCCCACAAGGCACACATATTTACAGAGAGTTTGGCAACTTCTGGTTAGATGATCAGTGTATTCTACTTGCACTCACTACTCCAATGGCCGAAACCTATATGGAAATCTCCATGTCTAGCCTTGATTTCTCTTTTGACCTCCAGAGGTTATATCCAGCAGCCTACTGGCATCTCTACTTGGAAGTCTCATGGGCACCTTGAGTTCAGTTGGTCCCAAAGTAAACCTGTCTTCTTTCTGCTCAAACACGCTGCTTTGTGTTCCTTAGCACAGTGACTGGCACCATGTAGATCCCCATGCCAGGAACCTGGGTGTCATCCTACCTTATACCCTCTTCCTCACCTCCCATGTCCCTTCGGTCTTAACCTCCTGTTGATTTCAGCTTGTAAATATCTCTTGGCACTATGCCTGAGGTCTTGGCTGACACTGCCCTTAGCCAGACCCTGGTCATCTTCTGCCTGACCCAGTGCCATCACTCTCCAGCTACAGGACCTCAACAGGGAGTCTCTTCATAAAGGTCCGAGGAAGTGGGACACTGTGCCCTCCAAAAACGTAGGTTGGACTTGTTACTGAGTCCTGTGTCCATAAAATAGGTCACTTTCCATTGTTTTATTGTTCTTTATTTTAAGGGTCTGTTGTTTGGCTGTATATAAAAAGAAAATGGTAATAATAATCCCAAATACATGTACTTTACTTTCAAAGCTTATAAAACACTTTCATTTTCATGATATTATTTGATTCCTGGACCGCTTGGGGAGAGAGCTATTGCAATTATCTGTGTTTATCAATATGAAAGGATATATGCTTACCTAAGGTCACCTGCTTTGGGAGCAAAAATCAGACCCAAGGCCCCTGACTCTGTGTTTTGTTTCTTCCTTTCTTTCCTTTTCTTCCCTTCCCTCCCTTCCTCCTTTTTTTTCTCTCTCTCTCTTCCTCTCTCTCTCTCTCTCTCTCTAAGATTCTTCTTCCCAAAGCATCTGAGGTTCAGCTTTCTTTTCCCTTGAACACTAGAAATCCATCAGGTAATATGTCATATGTCTTGCATTCCCACTACGAAGATAAGTATTAAAAAATGACAGCAACTTATTATTTATGGCAATATCTATTGTTACTAAGGGAGGCAGACCAAACAATTCCCCATTGTTACAGATGCTACTCTGACTTGACAGCTGGGAAAGTCTGATAGGCAGTTTATTTACTTAGCCATTTAACCAAATAAATGTTTTCATTTTTCTTTCATCTCCTCAAAAGCTAACATTTCGCCCTTAAAATTGCTCCAGCAACACATCAGTGAAGTATAAATTACCTGCCATTCCCATACCAGCCATTATAATATTATTTTGGTTCTTTTTGCCCTTGTTGACCCAGTCTTTCAAAGACACGTGATTCTCCCACATGGGAGGGTAGGGGAAAAAAGTGAAGTAATTGAAGATATTTTCCTTTATTGCTAAAACAGAACTGCTGTTTGAGATTGGCCCTGAAGCTTCCACCTGCGGGGATTGAGTCCGTCTGTTTCCTCTTACTATGGTGTGATATGGCGTTAGCTTATCAACAGATGTCATCCCTACTTACTCAGAACTGTGTGGGTATTTCTAATAAAAAACAGCTGGTGATAATGGTTGCAAGGGTGATAAGAGGGACAGGACTCTTGCTTTCCAACCATATGAAAGCAGAGGGGAAAAAAAATAAAACCATGGACATAACTAACCCTGCATGGTCTCTCTTCTCCAAATGTTTGGAAAGGCACTAAGAAATTGCAGTCTGTAAATTTTCAGCTGGGTGGATGGGAGAATGGGATGGAGATGGAAAGATCAAATGTGGCTTGTGCTGCTGTCGATGGAGGGACCCAGAATGGTTCTCCCAGACGTCCCCCATGTGTGTCATAGTGGCTATGTCTGCAAAGCTGGCATCTGCCCCTTGGCACTTGAATCTCGATAACTGTGAAGTGGCCAGGCTAAGCTTTCAAAGGGAGAAAATTACTTCACTGAAGATTACAGTCCAGCCCTCCTCTGGAGCTGGGAGGTACTTATTTATTTTGACTTGCATGTGATTCTAAGACAGCTCATTTTTTGGCAGTGAGCTGTGTGAGGCCCAACCAGGGCCATTCTGGATTATGGGATGGGACAAGCCAGAGAGCTAAGCAGTAGGCTTTTTTCTTTTTTTCCCTTCCAAAGCTGTTGTGACACATATTGAAAATTAATTATCTGAAGATAAAGTACAAAGCAAAACCTCTCAACCAATGGCCTTATACATAAAGGCTAAATGTATAAAATCCAAGAGAGTGGGGAGCCTGCATTAATTGGATGTATGTGATGATGATAATGATGATGGTGATGGTGATGATGATGGCAGCTAGCATCTATCGGGTGCTTTCTGTGTGCTATACACAGTGCTAAAAGCTTCACATACATCACTTTATTTAGTTCACACAATAACCCTATGAGGTGGACACTATTTTTATCCTTATTTTTCAAATGAAGAAAATAAAATAGAGAATGATTATAAAATCTCAGCAGTGTCACATAGCCAGGAAGTGGTGGAGCCAGATGCTGAACTCAAACAATGTTGTTCTAGAACCTAGATTTTTATTTTAAGCTAAGTACTCGGTGTCTGTCTCCATGCTAGATACTCAACATAAACTATCTCAGTTACCTTTATGGAGAATATAAGCCCCTTCTAGCAGATGAAGAAACCAAGACTCAAAATAAATTTTGGTTCTTGCCCAAGATTTCCCACTATTAAGTAGCTGAGTTAGGATTTAAACTCAAGTCCAAATCCTGAGTTCTTCCCACACTACTGCTATGTCCATTTACAGCTCAGCTGTGGCTTGAGGTGCTGGACAGAGCATTAAATGTGGAACAGACCAAAGCCCCATGAAACAGTTTGGCCTGTAGGATTGTCTCAAGCTGAACAGGTTCATAAAGATGAGGGTTTGATACATTGATCTGCAAATGGTGTAAGTCATCTTTGTTTTCTAGAAGAACTTCCATTTTAGGATGATGTTTGCTGTTATCCTGATGAATGGCTCTTGTCACCTCTAGTTCATTCACCAAATTTTTCAAGGCAAGGTTGAGCATGTGAAATACAACTTAGGCAGGGGGTAAGAAACCTCGTGGGGAACCATCCCAAGGAGTCTGCCTATAGTCCCCAACTTTTCTTTTTCCTGAAACATTGACTTTGATTTCAATATACCAACTCGCAAAGTAGCTTTGCAAGAGTGAACTTCTAAGTGAATCTTAGGTGGTTTTGCATGGCATGCCATATAATTATATGCTATTGCGCTGATACAAAATGTGGCAAACTATACAGTGTGTTAGGTTCTTTAATCGTAATATCTATTAACAAAATACACTTTCAGAATACCATATTAGCTTTCAGTAACTGTCTAACTTACGTGTGGACTAAGACTAATTCTGAGATAGCCTCAGAATCCATTTATGAGGGGTGAAAACTGTTTACCATTTTAATGGTTTTGACCATGCTGTTCAGAACTTAAAAAAGGAGCCCTTTGGGAATGGCCTTGCAGTCCTGTGTGTTTATAGAAAACTAAGAAAGTATCTGAAAATTGAACACATTTGTCAAGAAGTGACCTTAGAAATCATGTCTGGGTAACAAGGTGTACTTCTGTCTCCTAAGAAGGTTTGCTTCATCAGCTCCTCTTTCTTTCGATCAAATCAGATGTATTGAAATTCAAGTGCCAAAAACCACTTCTAGTAAATGTAAGTACATCTCTTTCAAAGTAGCTGCTGATGGAATCTGAAGTGATTTGGTGGCAATCCATGCGCTGCAGCACAGGTGCAAACAGCACAGCCTCAGAAGTGAGTAGTACACATCTCTGGGCTTTGAATTTCACATCAGAAAGGGTGCAGGGTGCAGGGTCCTTTCTGGCTAGACAAAAAGGGCTGCCTCTGATCTTACATCTCGATCAATCTTATTTCAAGCACTGCTTGTTTTTGCTTCTCAGTCTGGCTTCTCTGTGTGTTTGGTGACCTCTTTAGATCTGCAGAGTGTAGGCAAATGCAGTGACATTTTGCTTAAAAGATTAAAGCATCTGGACCATGGCTCACTGAGAAATTATCAGGGTGGGCAGAATGTGTCCATCTCAAAATGTTGATGCTTTCAGAAACTAAATCCATGCTAAGTAGCATGGACCATGCCTCACTCTATCACCACCACCTACGCAGAACATATTATTAATAAAATAATATGATCAGTTCCCACTTCTCACCCCTACCCCTACCTCCCAGAGTATGTCAAAGGTCATGCATCCATGAGAAAAGGCAAAGTAGAACGTAGACACCAGGCAAAGGGACATGGTGCAGACACTGGCAATATAGCTCAGGCAAGGAGAAATAGTGCAAACATCAGGAATACAGTTCAGGGAAGAAGCGATGGTGCAAACATCAGCAATACAGCTCAGGCAAGGAGACATGGTGCAAACATTGAGGATGTGGCTTCAGAAGTGAAGAACAACCAAAAGGGAAAGCAGATAGCTTAAGGGTAAAGGAGACAAAAAGGACAGATATACCTACCCAGACCTGCGCTATCTAGCTACCGGCCTGTGGACTTATATTATCACCACTGGGCTCCCCACTGGGCTCACCAAATGGATCACTGTTGGATGAGGCCTGTGATCCATCAGGCTAGAACACAAGAAGATAATACTTTTTTTTTTCTTTTTTCAACCATTGAAAATATAAGACAACTGGATATACTTTCATGCAGCACAATCAGTTATTGTAAAGGAGGGTGCAATGGCATTTAGAGGATGCTACACCACAAATGTGGACTTGTAGTAACAATTTAATAAAAAGGCAGTCTTTTTCAGCTGACTCATTTGAACACAAAAGAAAGCCCCTTTAGCAACCCCTTGAGAACTTATGAGATTGAGCCAGCATTCTTTTCTATGTAGGCTTCCTCATGCATTATCCATTTCAGTTACAGAGGTCTTAATTTTAAGGAAAAACACAAATAAATAACAAACTGGTCACTTACCGCTTCTTGCTCTTCACTTTTGCTGGGACTTTCAAAGCCCTCTTCGAAGATGTCATCTGTGGTAGGATCACTGGCATGGGATGCAGATGATTTGGATGGAGAGCTCTGTCTAGGGGCTGGGGTTGGAGCTACACAGAGACCACAGAAAAAGAGACATCTTAAGTGCTTGGCTGCAATCAACTTATCCCAAAGAAACCTGAGGAATCCGCTTATATTCAAGGCAAATCTTAGGATTCCTCTTCCTATTTCTGGTGGAATCAGCTGAATATTTGAATTATTTCTCTGTACGCATTGATCTTTCCTCTCACACGTCTGACTTCAGGAAGGAGCTCGTCCACACTGATAGGTAAGGCAGTGGTTCTCAAAGGATGGTCCTTGGACGAGCAGCAGCAGTAGCATCTGAGGATTTGTTAGAAATGAAATTCTTTGACCCTACCCCAGATCTACTGAATGAGAGACTCTGTGTTTGAACAACCTGCTAAAGGTTATTCTGATGCACGATCAAGCTGAGATCCACTGGGTTACGGTTTGCTTTCCTCTTTCTGTGTTTCATCAGAGGGCACTTACTAAGGGCATTTCACCGTTAGAAATTTTACAGACAATATCTCTAATCCTCATAAAACCTCTTTGAGGTAGAGGTTATCCTAATTTGACAGGTAAGGAAAGTGAAGGTTGCCAATTTGCTCGTGGCAACTGGTAGAACCAGATTCTGAATCCTGGCACATAGTAGGTATTCAATAAACACACGTTGAATACACAGTAAGTGTCTCAGTGATCTGGGAAAATGGATGTAGCTGATGGCAACTTAACAGCTGGTACTTGATTCTCTAAGGACAAAGGATATGCATTTTCTGGACTGACCCACCCACATCTCCTCTCATTTGTTTCAGAGGTGTAGAACAAATACGTTATTTGATACCACTCTTCTTTTAATAATTTCTAATTTGTCACTGAAAATACCAGTCACTGGCTAAGACCCAAGTGAGAGGGTGGCACGCCTTGATTTAGTAGCTGAATTTTCATAATGTCATAGAACTTAGAATCAGACAGTGAATGATGATTGTAAAACTTAGTGCATACTTTTTACTCTGATGACTCTATAGTTAGAAAAATGATGCTATTTCCTCATTTATTATTTATAATGTGCCAATGAGTTGGACACTGTGTTAGGCACTTCCCATCCATTATACACCCTAATACAAATACCTGCAAGCTGTTACTGTAACTTTTTTGTTTCCCAGATGGAGAAATTGCAGCTCAGAGAGGTGAGGTGACTTGCTGAGGGTTAACACAGCTATCAAATAGCAGCACTGGCATTTAACAGAGCTCTGTCTGACAGTATCCAGTCCAACTGTGCTTTTCTGTTTCTATTGGAGGTTCACTTTTGATCCAACCAATCCTCTACCCAAAACATTCTTAAGGGGATACTGATGGGTCAGAGGAGATAACGACTGGTTTTTCCAATTTCATTCAAAATAAAACAGTAAGGTTTTGAAAAAAAAATTTGCAATGAAATCTGTGTTGTTTCAGGAGATGACTATGGAACAAACTATATTGAAAGTGGGTTTAAAGCTATATGCAAACACCCTGAAGGGTAGTAGATGTTTAATAAATATTAGTTTAATTAGATCCTGAATTGTATTTGAAGTGAATTTTTGCTTACTAAAGGTTGAGGACCCAGGCTGAGTTGCCAGTTCTGGCAGGTATACTGCTCAGACTTACCTAATGAAATCAACGGAAAGCATAAACAGGAGTTTATTTATGTAGGCGTCTTAATTTTTAGAAGGCTTTATAGGATGCTTCTAATACTCTAAAGCAGTGGTTCTCAGTCTGGGGCAACTTCATCCCTAGGGTACATTTGGCAATGCTTGGAGTCATTTTTCTCAACACTAGAGGAAGGGGATATATGTTTCTCTCATAGAGTGATTAGAGGCCAGGGCTGCTAAACATCCTATAATAGGACAGCCTCTGAAACAAAGAATTATCTGGTCCAACATATCAATAGTGCCAAGGTTGCCAACAATGCTCTAAAACACAACAGTAGCTAAGTGATCTCCATTTAGTTTATTTCATTCTCTATAACCTTTCCCAAATGCCTCTCATGTGCCAGGCACTAAGCTAGCATTATGAGAAGTATAGGAGTAATGAAGACAGTTCCTGCCCTCAAAGAACTTAAACTCTCCTCTTTCATTTGTAGCTGGCACATAAATCCATTGAAAGAGAGATGTCTGTTTTTAAAAAGATGCTTGCTTATTTATGCATGGCTGTCATTTCTTTAACATTTCATTTTTTATTCATTATTCCTCATTGAAACGCTGTGAGTCTGTGTAAACAGAGATGCTGCCACTATGTAGATCATATGGCCTGAGCACAAGTGGGTTGTTTATACACACTGAGGGCATTCATTTTCAGAATAGCATTCTGAACCTGGCTGAAATGACACAATCTAATTGTATTAACATTGTGGGGTTTTTTTTGACAGTTCACAGTACTGGCCATGCAGTGATCCATATCACCTGTGACAGTAATGAAACCACCAAACTCACTGTAGCATGAACCTTTTCTTTCCTCTTATCAGGTGTCAAGGCACAGGCTGAGTCACCAGAACACCTTCCCTGAATTGTGTCAAGCAAGCGTACACATGCTCAAGTGTATCTGGATTCTGATTTGGCTGCACAGTCACTGTTTTCCAGATGTTTGCAGAAAAAATGTGGGCTGGAGGAGACTCACTGAAAGCTGGAACTAGAAGGATGCACACTGCTCATCCAAGTCAATTCACTTATTTTACCAATGATAAAACTGAGTCTTAGAGAAGTCACACGCTTGTCCAAAGACACAGCTTGTGGTAGAGGAGTCAACACCAGAACCGGGGTCCAGGACTGCACAAAACCACTTAACATGTGCTAATAATGAGGATAAAAGATACTTCAAATTCTGGGAGGTCTATAATATTTGAGTACATATGCCATTGAATCCTTTTAATAACCCATCCCTCACACAGATGAGGAAACTGAGGCTCATAGAAATAAAATGCCTTGCCCAAAGGCACAAAACTGGTCAGTGATAAATCTGATCTCCAGGTTTCCAGTCCAGTACTTTCTGCAGCACCATCTTTTTGTTCTCTTTAACTACCAGAAGCTTTAAGCCAAAATGAGGCTTCAGCTATAAAAGCTATTTAAGACCTTACGGCTGCTGTATCTCTGCCCTAAGTTTTCTCTTGATCCTTATTTTATATTCTAACGTTTAAAACTTGTTCCCCAAATTTTTAAAGTTTGCATTCACTTTTATTTCAAGAAACCACACCAAAATCTGTGTGTCATAAGCTGGCTATACATAAATAAATGAACGAATGCATGAGCAAACTAACAAAATCTTAAGAGGCAGAGTAACATGGTGGAAAAATACTAGACTTACATTCAGTTCAATACCACCTTGTCTATTGTCTTCAACCTTGAGCCTCACTTTCATTATCCATCAAACAGGTCTAACAAAATTTGTCATTAAGCATTATTATAAGTCTAAAAATAAACATGGAACATTTGAAGAAGGTTTGTATGTTATCAGTGGTACCTAAATTTGTAGCTCTTAGTAGTAATAGTAGTAGTAATAGTAGCAATAGTAGTAGTAGTAATATAAACAAAGAAGCCTGATTAATGCAAGCGAGATGAGTTATCTGACCCCTGAAACCCCACCTCCAGACATAAGTTATGGCTCTCATTGGGTTTTATATCTTAAGTGAGGGGCACTCACGTGAGTTGGTCGATGGTGTGGTAGAAGTCACAGGGGTCAAATTCAACTGGGAGATGTCAAAGTCATCACAGTCGTCTGTATCCTGTGCCACCCCGACTTTGTTGAAGTAACTGGAGAAGGCCTCTGAGGTACAGGTGAGGGAGGGCTGGTCGGGTTTGCGGGAGGGCACGGGTGGAGGCTGGGCCATCTGGAAATCCTTAAACGTTTCTTTCCCCATTTTCTGCCTGGGCTTGTCGGTCTGTGGACTTGACCTGGTGGAGTCACTCGTGCCTGGGACGGTGGCAAGGGGGGTGAGGGGACCTTGGAACATGGCAGCTGGCAAAGGCATAACAGTTTGTGTGGGCATGAAGGCGGCTGGCGGAAACTGCCCGGCCACAGTTGGCCAGGGCTGCTGAGTGGCAGGGAAGAGACCCGGCTGGCCCCATGCGATGGGCTGAGCCCCCGGCATCACCTGAGCGACTGGTGGCTGGGCACCCATGACCATCTGCTGTTGGACGAGGGGCTGCTGGCCCCAGAAGGACGGGAGGACAGCGCCCATTGCAACGTAACCTGGGAGAATGAAAAAGAAGAGTCAGGTGTCCTGGGAAAGAAGGATGCATGGACTCAGGTAATTGACAAATGTATCAAGCACCAACTAAGTGCCAGACTGTGTGCGAGGGACTGGGGATGCCAAGATGAACAAGACAAAAGTCCTTGCTGTCATGGAGCATATATCCTAGAGAAGTGGTCAGGAAAAGCCTCTCTGAGGAGATGATCTGTAAGCAAAAACTAGAATGCTAATAATCACATTTCTGTAGTTGTTAAAAGTTTCTAAAGTCTCATAGCCTCAGAAGCAATGTGTCTCAGGGACAGGGCAGAAGGATGGAAGGCAGGCCATCCTGGGTTTTCTCCTTGCCTCCTCTTCCTGCTGCACTTAGGATCCTCTCAATTGCATAAGCTCTCTAAGAGTGTGACTCTTTGTTGTAAAACCAGGTTATAATACCATCCTTCGCAGGCCTGAGGCAGTGTGCAAAGTGAGTAAGAATCTGAATGTTGGAGTTTTAGAGACCTAGGTTAAAATTCAAACAGCCACCTCTTAACTATGTAATTTGGGGAATAGTTCTTAAATCTCTCTAAGGCTCCATGACCTTATTTGTAAAATGGGTATAAACACCTTCTATCTTGCTGGGTTGATTTGAAGATTAATTGAGAGTACAAATTTAAAATGTGGAGTATTGTACCTGACACGGGATCAACATTCAGTAAATGTTAGTTACTACTATGGTTTCGATTAGATAGAGCCTAGAAAGTTACTTATTACATTGCTTGATATACAAAAGACATGTAATAAATGGTAGCTAGAGGTATTATGCATGATTTCTGTATTATTATTATTCCAATTTTAGAGAATTAAAAAAGTAGGGCCAGATGTGGTGGCTTATGCTTGTAATCCTAACACTTTGGGAGGCCCAGGTGGGAGGATTGCTTGAGGCTCGGACTTTGAGATCAGACTTAGTAACATAGCAAGGCCTCATCTCTACCAAAAATTTTTAAAAAGTAGTGAGGAATGGTGGCACATGCTCAGAATCCCATTGTCTCAGCACTCAGGAGGCTGAGGCAGGAGGATCACTTGAGCCCAAAGGTTTGAAGCAGCACTGAGCTGTGATTATTCCACTGCACTCCAGCTTGGGTAACAGAGTGAGACACTTGTCTCAAAAAAAAAAAAAAAAAAAAAAAAAATAGAAGGTTATTGTCCACTCAGGGGCACCTCATACATCAGTATAGGTTACACACTGCAAAACCTCATAGCCTGTACTCATGTGTAGTACCATGATAATTGTTCACTGTATTATTCTTTTTAGGTAAGATATATACATTTTAACAGGAGCACAAGCGACACTTGTTACAATAATAATAGTAACATAGCAGTAACAGCAACAAGCTCCACTTATTAAATGCCTACAACATGCCAGATACATTAGTAAGTGTTTTGCGTCTTCATGAAATCCCGGCAGGGTAGGTATTATTATCTCTATTTTAGGGATGAAGAAATTGGTGCTCAAGGAAAAGCAACTTGCTCAGGGTCATACAGGTTGCATGAGGTAGGAGCAGGATCAAACTGAGGTTGTCTGTACCCCCAAAGCCAGGGTTCCTTCCTTTGTGCCACACACTGCCTCACCCAGATGGCCAAGACCAATTTCTGATCTTTGCAGTTAATAGACCTTGCCTACTATTTGATTGTATTTGGATACTGCAGGCCTGCAGGAAATTCACATGTACTTCCAGGGGTCCCCACCCTTCTCAGGGGGCACGATGGCCACCTCTATGTGCAGTTGAGCCTGACAGAAAAGTTCCCAGGCTGGGCAGGGCAGAGAATAGAGAAGCCAGCTTTGCCTGGGCCTCTCAAAACAGGCCTTTCCATGGCTGTCAGTAGGAAGGTACCGATGCAGTGTAATGAGACCAGGAAAAAAAGAGGAATGGATGTAGAGTATCCTAGCAACTTCCAAAGGGACAATGTATGGGCTTTATGGCATTGATGACATTATGAGTCATCTCACTGACTCTTGTGAGCCCAGAGAGATCGAACGCAGGGTGTCTCACTCCATACTCCAGTCACAGATATACCTGCCTTCAACTGACTGATACAGGCTAGAGCCAACATTCAAGGCCTGGTGATTTTCCTTGCAAGGTGCCCATTTCCTCTCATGCCATGCTTCCCTAACAGGAGGCTCCAGAAAGGCACCAACAGGACACCTGTGCTTCTTGCTGATTAATCTCGCAGTGTTAAATACTTCTGCGGAATGAGACAAGGATGTCAACAAAAAAAATGGAGAATATCTTATAAGACTACTTTGTCCAACTGCACTGAAACAAGAGGGATGAAGAGGCCCTGGAGCTGAAACTTCAAACGTGAAGCTTGCTTAGCTTGCCTCACCCGTGGCGTAAAAATGTAGTGACTTAAATCTACCAACAGATGAAGAATCCTGCAACTCTGTCTTGTTTTCCGATTTACTTTGACATGGCCCAGTGGTTCTAAGTGGGAGTGCTACTGCCCCCTAGGGGTGGCTAGAAAATTGGTGGGATGTGTTTTGGTTGTCACAAGTGGAGGGGGTTGCACTACTGGCATTTAGGAGACCCAAGCATTGACAGTAGACATCCCATTATGTGTGAGATCAATGCGTATGACAAAGCATTATTCCACATCCTTTTTATGATATTTTGCACCTAGAATCGACTTTGAATTACATGGGAATTCAAAGTTATCTTTGCACTTGATTTTAATGCATTTAATTTTCCAGGAATTCAGCAACTGTGCACGGGAGGGAAGACTGTATTTTTAGTGTGTAACACTGTCAAAAGGTGTTGACTATTTTGGAAAATGGCAGTCCCTGACATCCCTGACAGAAACGCTTCTCATGGTGGTGTAGCCACATGACACTTCTGTATCAGTCTGGACTTATAGCTGTGGCTTTCAATAGTGATTCTACTTATAGGTGTATACATCTGACTGTTATGCCTTCTAGTGTGCTCATGCCTGAGTATTTCCTTATTTAAATACACACATTTTTATTACAAATTCTCTTTCCTTTCTGCCTTATATTAGAGAATTATATTCATTTTGAAAAATTGTGTAGCTAGACTACATTATCTATGAAATTCATTTCAAGGTATGAAAGCAGGTATTGTAAATTTTTGTAGTAAGAAGGGGGTGCTGGGTCTGCAGGTAGAGAAGTACCCATGGATTCAATCGCCCAAAACCTGCTGCCCATTTTGGTGAATGAGGGGATGTTTTCACTCTCTTGACATCAAGCCTATTTTTGGCTTTGCTTTTATTCCACCCTCCTCGTTGCCAGGAAGGACTGTTTTAAAATGCATATATGGTACTTCACTGTCTTTAGTATAAGGCTCAGATGTCTTAGCTTGGCTATGCGTCCTTGGAGTCAGCCCCTTCCACCTCTTCATCACTATCTTCAATTCATATCCTCACTGCACCTTGCCCTTCAGCAGTTGCAAACAAAACCCAACGTGCTGTCTCTTGTCTCTGCTGGCCCATCTGCCTGGAAAGCCATCCCACTGCTTCTGTGCATGTCTAACCCTGATTTGCTCTTGGAGACTCGGTTCACTATCACCTCTGCTGGATGGCTTCTTGCTCCTGTCAGCTCCACTGGTCCTTCTCTGGGCTTGCACAGTCTTCTGTGCTCACCTGTATCATGACACTTGTCACACTGCATTGTAATTGCTTGGTTATTCTATCTTCCCTGATGAGACTAGAAACCACCTGCTGGCAGGAACTCTTTATTCTCTCTCTCTCTCTCTCCACTCTGCCTAGCATGGTTTGGGACGGGAGAAAGGCCCTGCATAAAGATGAACAAGTCCTAGTCAATACGTTCACTGCATTTTTCCCGGTGTCTAATTAAACCCACAATGCATAAATGCTGTGATCGCTGATGATTCTACTGTTGGTGGCAGGTTTTTTTCCCCTCCCATCTTTTGTTTTTTTTTTCCACAAGGAGCTAACAGATGGGCTGTGCACACTTGTCTGGAGAGAGCTATTAGCATGTCTCTCTGGCTTCATGCCAACTGCTCCAGACCAAAGTACAATATTCAAAAGAAAAAAAGGTAGCACAGGGTAATTGGGTATCATGCTTAGGAGCTTGCAGGTCCCACTCACTTTTCCTAGTGGGTCCCTGCAGCCCGGCTCTCCTTGGCCTGTGAGTTAAGGCTGTCTGGCCACATGATCTTGTGCATAAGCGAAGGGACACACCAGCAGCAGGACAGTGGTGGCACTGGACACAGGGAGCCACGTGGGGGTTGCCACTGCAGCCACTTAACAGCATGTTAACTGTTTACTATTAATGTCCAGTAGTGGAGGGAGGAGGTGCCAAGGAGCATCTGTTTATGCCATGAAGTTCAGAGCAATCATAAATCTCCTTGCTGTGGAGTGAAAGGGAACACCTGCCTTGCTGCCTTACAGTTAGGTTTTTAAAAAGTGTTGAAAATTGTGATTTATAGCCAGATGCTGACACCTGGGGATACCCCCATTATTTGAAAAAAGAAAAAAAAAGGCAGATTGAAATATAAGAAAAGCACTAAAAACGAAGGAACTCCTCCAACATTTATGCAGAACTTGTATGATGTCTCTTATCCACAGTATCTCACTTGATGGATTCATTCATTCAAAACCACCTCTACTAGGTGCCAATCACTGCTTTAGTATGTGGAGACAAAACACAGAACAAAACAGTCATAAAAAAAAACCAATTCTCACCCTGAGGAGCTGACATTTTTGTGAAGTTGATCCTTTCCAAAAACCTCTGGGGTAAGTGTGATTGCTATCTCTTTAATTTGTAGAGGAGAAATTGCAACTCCATGAGGGGAAGATTTGATGCAGCTACACACTGTATGAATAGCAGATCCAAGGCTCCCGAAGAACCATGTAGCAAACATCTGTTGAGTGCTTACTGATGGAAGCACTGCCAGGAACTGCTGTACATATTTTACAACCTGCATTTACTCATGCAATCCTTAGAAAATTTCTATGAGGTAGAATTACGATCATCCACATTAAAATGGGGTAAGTTTCCTGAGGTTCAGAAGATATTTATCTGAGTATGATGCAGTTTGCTAGCGGCAGAGCCTGTATTCATACATAGCACATTCTCCAGGCAACCCATTCTCCTGCTGTCTGCTATGAGCAGTCAAGAGGTTGAAGACCTAAACTTTATTACAGGCACTAATTTCCAGGAAAAGGAAAAAATATAGGTAGAACAGGACATATATTCATCTACTGTAGAAATCAGAATAATCATAATAATATAGCATATTCTACACTAAATATCGATGATGTGCCAGCATTTTTCAGTGTGTAGTGATACAGCTTCTGCAGCTGCAGTTAATGTAGTGATTCATTTAATTCTCATGATATTGTTGCAAAGTAAGTATTATTTTACACTCAGTTATAAAGATGAAGAAACTCTGACTCTGCCAGGTGAAGTAATTTGCCCAGGAGTCTAAAGCTTAGAAATAAATGGCGGAATCAGGATTCAAACCTGGCCCATCAGATTCAAAAGCCCCCAGGAGCCAGTATCACATACTCCAGTTCACTTCTCTATCTCCTTATCACTGGCTGGACAACTAGTGACAAGGAGATTGGGATTCAACAGCTGCAGAAATTTTTATGTCCAGTTAAGGGAGAAATCGGGCACATAGTTTAATACCAACTGAAGCCAGTTTTGTTATACTAACTAGAGTCAGAGAGCAAAAACATGCAAATTGAAATTAATTTTAGACTCGTGTTCTAAAAGTTGAAATCTTGGAGGTAATCTATCAAAATTTTAACAGCTAAAGAAAGGAAATCTGGATATGTGGAAGTGGCTTGTCCACAGCTTCCAACGTGGCTGGTTAAGCAGCAAGACTAAAACCCAGGTCTTCCAAGTCCGTAATCTGGTACAGGTTTGGGAGAGGGCCCAGAGTTGTGCTGTGACTGACCCGGTGATATGGTTTGGCTGTGTCCCCACCCAAATCTCACCCTGAATTGTAATAATCCCCATGCGTCTCCCCTAGGTGGAGATAAATGAATCATGGGGGTGGTTTTCCCCACACTGTTCTCATGGTAGTGAGTAAGTCTCATGAGATCTGATGGTTTTATAAAGGGGAGTTCCCCTGAACACAATCCCTCTTGTCTGCCACCATGTAAGACATTCCTTTGCTCCTCCCTTGTCTTCCACCATGATTGTGAGGCCTCCCCAGCCATGTGGAATGGTGAGTCCATTAAAACTCTTTCCTTTGTAAACTACCCAGTGTCAGGTATGTCTTTATCAGCAGCGTGAGAATGGACTAATACACCCAGGCAGGTCCTCAGGGTGTTTTTAATCAAATGTTAGGGCTGCAAGAGATATAAAATTACATCTAGGCCCATCTTCTCATTTATAGAGAAGGAAATGGAAATTTGGGGGACCAAGTCATTCCTCTGCCTGGAGTACCCTGAACTCTGATGTCTACTTGAGACTTTTCTGCCCCTGCTAGTCCTGTCACACTTCACCTAGGCAAAAGCCCCTTGTGACCACAGGGGCTCCACTTTTACCTGCCCTCTGCCTGCACTCAATAGCCCCTATGCTCTGGTCTGCATTTTCTTTTGTCCCTATCACTTCTCATTTTTAAATATATTATTGAAAATTATTTATTTTTTTGTTATTTCCTATCTTCCCAGTAAAAGGTAGACTCTCTGTCTGTTGTGTTGACTCGCACATCCCAAGCACCTACATGGGACCTGGCACATAGAGGGCACCTGGTGAGCATTTTTGAAATGAACACGCCTGCAAATTGGTAAGTTTGGGGCCATCATTTTTCCTAGCACAGTCTTTACAGACAAAACAATGAGGACAAAGCATGGGCACTCTGAACACAAAAGTCAAGCATAGAAGGGTGGTAGAAAACTCTTACCCTTATTTAAAATGGCATGTGCTATTATACTAGTCCCTTGGATATTTTAATATCTATTTTAGGTAAGGAAAACTAGTCATCATTACTATCCCTTTTTCAAGATTAGACTGGGAAACTTCACAATTGAATACATTTCTAGGCAACCTGCGGTCTAAACTGTAAGTTAGATCCAAGGGTTACCAACCTCTATTGCTTCTAAAAGTTCATAATGATCCCTTAGCTCATGAGTAATAACCATAACTATTTTAGAACAGAGTATGCATTTTTAATTTACTTTGAATAAAAGCACAGTTTATATTTGGTGGCAAGAATTTGCTTCTAACAGTATGTAATTAAAAGTAATTATGGAAAAAAATGCAAGAAGATTGGTATTCTAAAATATTCAAACAACTCTATTTGCCATTTATAAGAATAAAGGCGGCCGGGTGCGGTGGCTCAAGCCTGTAATTCCAGCACTTTGGGAGGCCGAGACGGGTGGATCACGAGGTCAGGAGATCGAGACCATCCTGGCTAACACGGTGAAACCCCGTCTCTACTAAAAAAATACAAAAAACTAGCTGGGCGAGGTGGCAGGCGCCTGTAGTCCCAGCTACACGGGAGGCTGAGGCAGGAGAATGGCGTAAACCTGGGAGGCGGAGCTTGCAGTGAGCTGAGACCCGGCCACTGCACTCCAGCCCTGGCCAGAGCAAGACTCTGTCTCAAAAAAAAAAAAAAAAAAAAAGAATAAAGGCAAGAAAGATAAAGCCACAGATTTCAAATACGTAGTTAAAGAAAACCACAAAACCCTTTAAGGCTCCCATGTATGTGAAAAACGGAACTAAACTACCTTTGGCTATTTGCAAATACAGTGGCCTGGCCACATGGAATGCCTCATGCCATGGAAATAAGGTAAGATTGCTGGGCTCCATCCATTTGTAACTCACCTGCAATACTGCTACTATATCTATATATTTTTTTTACCTTGTTGTAAAAGTAGTAAATACGTTTAAAGACTATTTGAAAAACAGAACACATACTTTCTAACTCACCAGGTGTCTCATTATTCTCACAACTCACAGCAGTTTGCTCCCCACTTTGTCTGGGGACCTTCCCCTTCCTTGAGTCAGCACCAAGTAAGGCAGATCCCTTCTATCCATCAGGTCTCAAGAAGTCTCTAGAAAGCTGACTTCATGTCCTCCCCTGCTTATTGCTGTCTCTCCTGGCTGAGGTGGAAGAGTGGAAATGGACCTGGGCTAATTGCACAGCTGTGCGTATGCCATGCTCCGAAAAGCTGCACACCTGAGTAACATAGAATCTTGAACTCTCTGGGTGAAAGACATCAGTGAATTCCAGGCCAGTAACATCCCAGAGCTCTGGACCCCAACATCACCTCCCTCTCTAAACAGCTTCTCAGTGTCACCTGAAGAGTCACAGGAGAGAATAGCAGTGTTTTGTCATCATTTGGCAGCTGGCTCTGTAAATTCTTTCTCTCTCGATGGGTGAAGGCCAAAGGAAGGGAAGCTGGTGGAAGAGGGCTTACCTGAGGGTACAGCAGCAGTGCTGAAAGGTACAGAACCAAACACATCTGCACTCGCTGGAAGGGTCTGAGATGAAGATGGGATAAAGGCATCACCTGGAGTTGCAGGAGTCTGCCAGACAGAGAGAGGCAGAGGACACATGAGACCTGGCTTAGCAGTCACCAAGGCTGGGAGGTAGCAGATGCAGGAATTAAGGGGCAGGGGAAGGGATCCACAGTTCAAGCCACTTATGTGGTGTGCAGCCCATGTGCTGGTTACATACACTTTATCTACAAAATGGGAAATGATACCTCCAGAGCTACTGTGAGGATTAAGTGAGATTATGTATTTAAATTATTTTACATCATTTAAATTTTTAGCACCATGCATAGGCATATAGTAGGTGCTTGGCAAATAATGGCCAGTATCCTAATGATTTAGTTTGAGCCCCTACTCCCTGCGGGGTGTTTTCAGGTGTCAAATTTTCCATAATATTTGGCATTCGCCCTTTAGAGATGGCCAGTTCAAATTGAAATACACCCACTCAAGACCTACTGTGTGCCCAGCTCAGGGGCTGCAACTTAATACATGGCCAATGAGCAGTTGCTGACTAAATCAACAAATAGAATTTAGCAAGTGGAGCACCGAGCCTTGTATCCTGGTGCACCCCCCCAACTCCAGATTTTCTCTCAATCTTCATTTGCAAAAAGAAGTAAATATTTTCAAGAAGACAACAAGAAACAATGCTTGCACCACTGAAAATTCTACAGGGCCTAGTCCATGCTGGAATTCAAAAAAGGTCTGCTGCATGGACTGGTGGGCAAGATGGGGGATACAGAAATGAAAACATCAGTACTCATAATTTTGTATATGTCCACACCCATTTATAGCAGGCTTTTGCCTACAGAGTATAAATCTGTTTGATGCTGTAATATCCTTTTTTTTCCCCCTTGGAATAGGCTGGGGCAAGCAATTAATCCTGAAATCATGGCAATTAGACAAGGCCATTTTTAGACTAGCAGCTTGTGGGACGAATGGCATTGTTCTGAGGATTATTAAATACCCATTTGGACTGTGCCTGGGTTCAGGGCCAGAAACACAGCCATGAGCTGCTGTGTTAAGCACTTTTAAAAACAGTCAGCGCCGTTCTTTTGTTCCCCCTTTGTGACCTTGGGTGAGTCACATGTCCTTTCTGGGACTCAGTTTGCTCATCTGTAAAATGAAGGGGATAAGGTTAGAAGATCTCTTCAGCCCTTTCTAGCTGTGTAGCCCTGCAGTTCTGCAACTCCAAGTTCCCAGGAAGAAGCTTTTAGCCCAGGATAAAGGGGAGAATGAGAATTGCTAGAGCCATCCAGCTTCTTTGGGGACAGAGGCTGCGGTCCCCGCCCTCAAGGCTGCCTTGGACATCAGGTGTTGGCAGCAGGGCAGCTGTGCCTAGATTCCCAGGTGGCAGCAGTGGGCAGCAGTGTCTTGTGCCATCTGTCCTCGGTGGTGAGGTTACAGCCTTTTCTCTGTGAGGCGCATCTTGCCAATGAACCATAGCACCATCCCTCGGTTTGCACAACTGCGCAGTGCCCAGAGGAGCTGTCCCCTCCCGGCAGCTTCAGCTGGTGCAGCTGCGGCTGACTGCTCTCTGCCCTCCTCAGGGAATGGGCAGGGGAGGGGCTGGAGGGGCCGTCTCGGCTCTTTTCTTTGCAGTGGCTGCAGAGTTGCTTTTGAATGCATCCAGCACTGGGATTCTATTTTGCTTTGGTTTTAATTGTGTTTTCTTCTTTTCATTTTCAAATTAGGGCTCCCTGCAATCGCTGTCCTTTTGGAAGCATTGACTGAGGTACCCTGGCTGAAGCTGTGGCTGGGAGTCCAGAGCTTCCTGAGAAGCTCAGTGAGGCCCAAGTGCCCAGGTCATGGTCTGCAAAGCTGAAGGGCAGGCTGGAAGGAAGGGAAAAAACAAAAAGAAGGGAGAGAGGAAAGAAAGAGGGAAAGGAGAGAAGGATGGGCAGAGCAGGGTGTGGGGAGAAGGTCCTTCCTTTACTGGGCTGGCCACCTACGCTGTACTGGGCTTGGGGCAGGTGCTGACAAATGCCTCATCATATGTGTTGTCCTGAGTTTCCTGCCTACATTCCCAACCACACCATGTGCTCCTTGTAGTCAGAAACCACATCTCCTTTGGGCCTCTCTTCTCAGACCCCAGCAGAACAGCAAGTGCCCAGGCAAGTCCTGTCATTGCTGAATGCATGGTCTTGTTTATTTCGCAAAACAGAGGCATATATCATACTTCCCCTTTTTAAATAGCCAAGCAAATTAAGGATCAGAATGACTACTTAGTTTGTCCAAGTCACACAGCTTGAAAGGGTCAACGCTGAAATCCACCAGAGGCCTCTTTCACTCAAAGCCCATATTCCGGCCACTGAGGGGATGTGGAAAGAAAGGAAAGGAAAGGGGTGCAGGGTTCAGAGAGCAATGCATACTTACAGGGGGAGAGGTTATATCAGGGGGTGTGGACATGTCCCCAAAAAGTTCTAATTGGGTCACAGCCTGTAAAGACAAAAAGGTAATCATGTAACTACAAAGAAAGGTGGTGATGCTGGGTCCTGCTTTACACACAGTACGATACGGGGATACACATTTCTGTTTTTCATCATTTCTAGATAAACCATAATCCTGGTGGGTCATTACCATACCTCAGGATCCCAAAGGCAACACTTGAATGCAGCCAGAATCAATTCTTGCTTCCTTGCATCTGCCTATTTATCCAGCCTTGGTCAAGACTGCCCATTAATCACTTCCCATAAGCAGTAACAACATCACTTCACACTTATTTACCATCAAATGCCAGCAATGTCTCTCTTTCTAGGAGATAAAGGCAGGGAGGCAATCCCATCATTGGTTTTTCTCTCATCATTGGTTTTTCTCTCATGAGTGTATCCACACATACAAGATGTCTTCCACGTGTAAGTACAGACATGACTTCATGGTCACGTCAGTAAGGGCTCCCAGTAGCATTCACCCTGAGAGGTAGGAATTGTCATCCCCATTTTTACAAATAGATAAACTAAGTCTCAGGGATGTGATATCAAGGTCATCCAGGCCAGGATTTAAATTTGCTGAATGCAGAGAATGCAGTCAAACAGCACTCTCTGAAAGAGTCCATCTTTAGGATAAAAAATGTGGTTGGAGGAAAAGAAAACATTTCATTTAATACCAGGAAAGGCATCAAAAACAACCCGGTGTATACATCATTAATCACTCCTAGGAACTCCATCACTGCAGACGCTGCATCATCTATCTCCTCATCCATCACATGGGAGTATCTGAGCAAGGCCAGCCACAACAGCTAAAGAAACCGTTTAAGATACACTTAGAACTAATCTGCACACACTACCAAATTCACAGACTGTAGGGAGTCTATGACCTGACTTAATTATGACAAGTATGTAATCACATGCTTTGTACAAACCTGTCCACTGAGGAAAAACCACTTTTCCCTCATCTTCGGATCTTAAGTGATAGCTTCAAATTGGGGGAAGCTAAACATACCACTTAGTAGAAGGGATGTGAAGAGTCCAACTGCCCTGCCACACAGGACTCCTGCACTCAAACTGCTCTAACCAGGTCATGGCTGGATCTCTAGGGTTCATCCAAGGAAGGGAATGTTCTTTCCTACCGGCAAGTGAGTGAGCTTTGGGCTCTGGAAAATGTCCTACACTCCACGCCTGGGGGTGTGGAGTACTGATAAGATAAACCACATGAGAAAGGGGCCCCAGGTCAGGCAGGGCCCCAGATGGGGAAGAACAAGGAATAATTGTTCTGAGGGATGGTTAATCACAAACAACCCAAGGGCACAACCTCATTTTCAGGTAGCCCCTCCAGCACAACCCTATAAAACTTCCCTCCAGCCCCTGCCTCTTTGCAGACAGCCCCTTCTCTGCTGTGCTGCCCATTGCAATCTTGCAATGTATTTTCATACTTTCTCTAATAAATCTACCTTTCTTTACCTACAAATGTCTTCATAAAAAATTCCTTTACTGCCTGGACCACTGGCCCCAGATAGTAGCTACCTCCAACAGGAGGCATATTTGGATTCTACCACTTTCAATATCTGCAACTCCTCAGAGCTACAGTTCCTTCATCTGGGCAATGGAGATGATAATATCAACCAATTAAATCTGTTTTTCTTCCCAGTCTCAGGTATGTCTTTATCAGCAGCATGAAAATGGACTAATACAGTAAAATTGTTACCAGTAGAGTGAGGTGTTGCTGAAAAGATACCCAGAAATGTGGAAGTGACTTTGGAACTGGGTAACAGGCAGAGGCTGGAACAGTATGAAGGGCTCAGAAGAAGACATGAAAATGTGAGAAAGTTTGGAACTTCATAGAGACTTGTCGAATGCCTTTGCCCAAAATGCTGATAGCGCTATGGACAAGAAAATTCAGGTCGAGTTGGTCTCAGATAGAGATGAGGAACGTGTTGGGAACTGGAGCAAGGTGACTCTTGTTATGTTTTAGCAAAGAGACTGGTGGCATGTTGCCCCTGTCCTAGAGACTTGTGGAACTTTGAACTTGAGAGAGAAAATTTAGGGTATTTGGCGGAAGAAATTTCCAAGCAGCAAAGCATTCAATAGGTAACTTAAGTGCTGTTAAAGGCATTCAGTTTTCTAAGGGAAGCAGAGCATAAAAGTTTGAAAAATTTGCAGCCTATGTGATAGAAGAAAAACCCATTTTCTGGGGAGTAATTCAAGCCAGCTGCAGAAATTTGCATAAATAGCAAGGAGCTTAAAGTTAATTCCAACAATCATGGGGAAAATGTCTCCAGGCCATGTCAGAGACCTTCATGGCAGCCCCTCCCAACACAGGCCTGGAGGCCTAGGAGGAAAAAGTGGTTTTGTGGGCTGGGCCCAGGGTCCCTGTGCTATGTACAGTCTAGGGACTTGGTGCCCTGTGTCCCAGCCACTCTAACTATGGCTGAAAGGGACCAATGTACAGCTCAGGCTGTGGCGTCTGATGGTAGAAGCCACAAGTCTTGGCAGCTTCCACATGGTGTTGAGTCTACAAGTGCACAGAAGTCAAGAATTGAAGTTTGGAAACTTCCACCTAGATCTCAGATGATGTATGGAAATGCCTGGATGCCCAGGCAGAAGTTTGCTGCAGGGGCAGGGCCCTCAGGAAAACCCCTGCTAGGGCAGTGTGGCAGGGAAATGTGCCGTCATAGCCTCCACACGGAGTCCTACTGGGACTCTGCTTAGTGGAGCTGTGAGAAGAGGCTGTCCTCCAGACCCAAGAATGGTAGATCCACTGATAGCTTATACCATGAGCCTGGAAAAGCCTCAGACACTCAACACCTGCCCATGAAAAAGCAGCTGGGAGGGAGGCTGTACCTTGCAAAGCCACAGGGGCAGGGCTGCCGAAGACCATGGGAACCCACCTCTTGCATCAGTGTGACCTGGATGTGAGACCTAGAGTCAAACAAGATCATTTTGGAGCTTTAAAATTTGACTGCCTCGCTGGATTTCAGACTTGCATGGGCCCTGTAACCCCTTTGTTCTGACCAATTTCTCCCATTTGGAATGGCTGTAATTACTCAATACCTGTACCGCCATTGTATCCAGGAAGTAACTAGCTTGCTTTTGATTTTACAGGTTCATAGGCAGAAGGGACTTGTCTCAGATGAGACTTTGGACTGTGGACTTTTGGGTTAATGCTGAAATGAGTTAAGACTTTGGGGGACTGTTGGGAAGGCATGATTGGTTTTGAAATGTGAGGACATGAGATTTGGAGGGGCCAGGGGTGGAATGATATGGTTTGACTGCATCCCTACCCAAATCTCAACTTGAATTGTATCTTCCAGAATTCCCACATGCTGTGGGAGGGACCCAGGGGGAGTTAATTGAATCATGGGGGCTGGTCTTTCCCATGCTATTCTCATGATAGTGAATAAGTCTCATGAGATCTGATGGGTTTATCAGTGGTTTCTGTTTTGCATCTTTCTCATTTTCTCTTGCTGCCACCATGTAAGAAGTGCCCTTTGCCTTCCGCCTCTCCCCAGACATGTGGAACTGGGAGTCCAATTAAACCTCTTTTTCTTCCCAGTCTTGGGCATGCCTTTATCAGCAGCATGGAAACAGAGTAATATAGAGATCCAACCAGCTTTTGGCAAAGTTTGAGATGGTTTTCTAAAGGAAATAGCCTGGATTTGAATCCTGAAGGAGAGGAGCCATGTGACCAAAAAGAGGAGACCATTCAGACAGAGGAAACTGCTTAAAAAGGCCAGAGGGCCAGGAACAGAGTAGGTAGGTGGTAATGGAAGCAGTTCAGTGTTACTAACATGAAGGTGGGAGACAGGAGGCCAGTGTGGTGGTCAGGGGCAAGGTTGTGGTGGGAATTTCATACATTTCACAGCCTTTTCCATCAATTCTTGCCTATCTTATTTCTCTTTCATACAGTAACAGCCCAGCAGCTGATGGGAATGAGGTGGACAGTACATAGGTCCTCTCTCAAATCTTGCTGGACTTGAAATGCTCTTCTTTGGTAATCCTTCTCTAGCATGTTAGCAATACTTTATATTATTTGGTGAAGCTCTGCTAGTCTTTTAGACCCTCTTCCAAATTCATAAAAGGAATAACTTTATTTAATCAATTCAAATGAACCTTCTGGGCTTCTTTGAGACTGCAATTCTATGCTTTCAAAATGGCCCACAACTATTTTCAGTGTTCGGAAAATATTTAAATGAAGTTATTAATTAAGTCACACAATTTACATTTCAAATGTGTTGAACTCATGGCACACTTTTACTAACATCATAAATAGAATTTATTGGCTAATTTTCTCCTTAAGCACAACTTTTAAAATAACCTTCATTCTTGAGATATAGACTTTCCTTTTGCCAGATGATTTTCACTCAAGGATTAAACGAGAAAAACATGCAGAGGCATAAAACATAGATTGTTATTTCATTCCATTGGTTTGCTGTTTAAATAGAACCTTGAGTTAATTAAATTTTATAGAAAAAGGGGATTCTTGGGCCATAAAATTAAAAATAATCCTAATAACTATATGTGATCGAGAATCTGAAATAGTATCTATTTTCACAGGCCTCCTCCCCATGTTAACCCCAGTCCTTTTATTTGTAAGCTAATAAACCATGTTCCATCTGATAATACTGCTCTAATGAATCATTTTAAAAGCCTCAAGAGAATACAACTAACAATTCACATTTATAAAACACTTTATAGTTTGTGATACGCTTTCAAATACATTATCATCATGTTTGACACTCACTGAGCCCCAAAAAGTCACCAGCATAGGTGCCATTGTCACTATGTTTCGCAGATGAGCTAGCTGAGGCTGAGGTTAAGTGACTCACCTCTGATCAGTCAGCTAAAAGCAGCTGGGATGGACTTGACCCACACACCCACCAGCATCTTGTTCATCGATCCATCACTTTACCAAACCTTAGTTAGCCTTGCTAAATAGTGGAAGTCCAGCTCTACAACATTCTCTAACCAGAAATCTGGGTTGCTACAAGGTCTGCCAGGATGCACATCCATTTGAGGTCATTTGGAATGTCAGCTTGAGATGTCTACTCGCCAGAGAGTAAGGTCCTTCCATTACTAGTATTTCAAATGTCTCCTGGTAAAGAGAGATATAGCTGGAGATGGCAATTTTGCCCCTTTTTTAGCCCTCTGGGCATTTTCCAGGGGTAAGAAGAGTGATATTGTAAGGTGTACAGGACAGTGAAGGAAAAGTAGCTTTGATGTTTGGGGAGGTAGTTCCCCAGTATCTCCATCAGGCCTGTTCTCTCCCCAGTCATTCTTTGATATGAACAAGTGATGGTTTTTCAGTAATATTTAGTTCAAGATTAGTACGCTGCTCCTTCCAACTAGATCACTGCAACAAGATCCCTAGGCCCTTCCGAGAGAGAAATCCTAAAGGCACAATTGATGGAGAATGAGATGTTACGGCTGACCCCGAAAACACCTTCTCACAGACCCATTCCCTGTGTTTTGGCATCAGGAGTTCTGTGACCCTTCAGTGGGCAGACATGGGAGTTCCTACCACGCATCAGCTACCAAGAGCAAGGGCTAGAGACAGGTAAGCCACATTCCCGTTCCTATTGTCATAAGCTGGCTGTATTATGGAAAGACAGACCCAGAGACACAATCAATGGAGGAGAGAAGCACAGAGAGTTATGAAAGAAGAGGCCATCCCAGGGTCTTACATGTGCTCCTCCTCCTACCTAGAACACTCATGTCTTCTCCCACACATTCTTCAGGACGTGAATTAGAAGGCTTTCTGTTTTGTTTCCTATGAAGTGGCTTCCTAACTCAATTTGTACCCTATCCCATTGCCCATGATACTCCCAGATCAGTGGTTCTCAACCTTGGATGCACACTAAGATCACCTGGGGAAAAATTACTGATGCCTGGTTCCCACACCGAAAGATTCAGAATTGGTTTGAGGTAAAACCTAGTCACTGGAGCTTGGAAAGCTCTCCTGATGATTCTAACTTGCTGCCAAGGTTGAAGATTTTTGTCCTGGAGGTTTCCCAATACTGTATTTAGGAGTGGCAATATTCATTAGCCTGTGTATCAATCAATTTGAACAGATGTTGACTACAACCAATATATTTATACCAGGTTATACTGACTGAATGGCAACCTCACCTGTTTTTTATTACCAGTGGTGTACTTGGCACATCCTGTTCATGTATCTGAATTCCTACTATATCATGTTATACTGCATATACTACACTACGCTAGGCGAGGCTCTACTGTCATATCTTATCCCATGCAATGTTGCACTACGTTACACTGTGAGCTTCTTTAGGAAAGCCACTTTTCTGCATCTCTAGCATCTATTAGGATGCCTGGGACATGTTAAAGGTTTGAAAAGTATTGCTGGATGAAAAGAAGGGGTGCTATCTCCTCTCCAACACACACTCTTGTTTACACACATACACACACACACACGTACATATACTCTCACTATTTGACCTCATGGCAGGGCCCACCAATAGTCGTCCTGGGGACATTTGAATAGGTACCTACTAGAGCAGAGCAGGGCAGCAAGTCTGCCATTCATGCCAGCTGGATGAAGAGAATATGGAATGCATGAGTATGAGCAGAACAACCTCATTTAACAAAAACCTCAAGGCCTTACCTTTGTTGCCTCAAAAATCTCATCAAAGTCCGTGGGCAGGTTTCTGTTCTGTAACCACAAGGCACGACTGATGAGCATGAAATGAATGTGGAGATCATGACATGAAACAGTTAACCTGAGAGGGCTCTAATTCTTACCGGGGTGGCTGCAGCAAACCGTTCTTCAAAATCCTCAAACGAATAGCCATTCTGAAAGTGGAAGGGATGATGAATGAGGATGAAGTGAATGACACACAAATGACATGGATTTATGAGTTTAATGATGACAGTATCTATGATTCACACTTCCATGGTCTCAGCAGGCGGGGAGCTGTTTCCAATGTCTGTGAAAATCTTGGAATATGTTTCTAGCATAAGCAGATGATAAAACATGGGTCTGATTAGGAAACACAGCAATGGTAAATTTGTAAGTTTAAATTCCATCTTCCTGCAATTACAGACATTGCCCTGCAGTTATAGATATCAGCAGTGGCTATGGATAAGAGCATGCTGTTTACATTCGAGATTTTTCTTTTAAAAGAACACAATGTCACCTTGTGCTTTAGACAAACTTTACTCTTTGGAGCAGTCTGTGAACAGCTGGTTTTCATGTGTTTTTACACATGTTGTCTTCTCTGCATGAAATGCACTTCCTTTCGGCCGGGCACGGTGGCTCACACCTATAATCCCAGCACTTTGGGAGGCCAAGGCAGGTGGATCATGAGGGCAGGAGATTGAGACCAGCCTGGCCAACATAGTGAAACCCCAGCCTGGCCAACATAGTGAAACCCCATCTCTACTAAAACTACAAAAATTAGCTGGGTGTGGTGGCGAGCCTGTAATCCTAGCTACTTGGGAAGATGAGGCAGGAGAATCACTGGAATCCAGGAGGTGGAGACTACAGTAAGCCAAGATCGTGCCACTGCACTCCAGCCTGGGAGACAGAGCGGACTCTATCTCAAAAAAAAAAAAAAAAAAAAAAAAAAAAAGAAATGCTCTTCTCATCTCTGAAAGCTCAGTGCTCCCCAAATTCTCCAAACCCAGCTCAAAAGCCACCTCCTCTATGAAGAGTTTCTCTATCCTTTGAACTGAAATCCTCCTGAGTGTACTCAGTACATTATCTGTGCCTATCATACTGTAAGCTTCCTCAAGCAGCTGGTAGAGGGTCTCCCCCTGCAGCTGGTAGAGGGTCTGGCACATAGCAGTCCTCAAAAATACAGAAATGAATGCATGTTCTAGAAGTAGCTGGCAGTGAGCAACATTTAATTGCTTTGTTAACTTTATATTATATTGTTTATATTACACATAGGTATGTATAATATATCATATACATGTATATCTTAATGGCCATATTCTGGTCTATACGAATAAGTTAATTATTCTTTGGATGATTTCCAAAATAGTAAAACATTAATATAAATCTGCTAATATGGACATTAAAATGGAGTTATTACACACGAATAGTTTTGAGGAGAGCTTTTGGCAATGGAAGAGTGAGAAAACTATCACCCATAGCCTCGTAATACTGTGCTGTGTCAGAATTTGCTTTCACCCTGTCTATAGGACATGTGACTGTTGCTTCCTTCAGCCCCAGTTACAGTCTGCAGAGCAGAGCAGAGTGGAAGAATCAACGTGCCTGGGCCCACTAAGGCAGGGCCTTCAGGTCAACCACCAACCACCTGTTTCCACCAGCCCATGGTTCAACATGACTTAACTATGGCTACAATGAGAGGAAAAGCCACCACATCAAATAACCATAGACATTATTATTATTATTATTATTATTATTTGGCCACAGGTGGGGAGAGGTGGTGAGACAATATTAGTCTAAGTGATCCTGTAATCTATCGTGTGGCCTAAAAGGTTAAGGTTATGTCGCTACATCCTTTATAAATGCACACACTCCTAGCAATTTATGGCAGAGCCCCTACCAACTAGCTCTGGGTCATAACTTTTAATAAAAACATTTTTTAGTGTCCAAAATCTCATTACATCTGTCCAATATAAAAAAGCAAATGGCTTCAGAGCATGATGGATGAATTAAATAAATTTGAAAAACAGCCTGTGGTAGAGGCTCATAAAAACCCCCACCATGTCCCATATAATGAAAATGTGGGAGGATAACCAGTGTCAGCATGAGCATGTTGTCACCTTCCTGGGAAAGGAGAGGTAGCCTTTGGTGAGGTGTGGAGCTGAGGTGTGATGAGGCGATTTCTTTGAATTCAGTTGAAGCTTGGTCCGAGCAGATGAACAAATGCATTTTTTTGAATCACACAGATATGTACTGGGTCTTGGCCACGTCAGGCCGTGGATGCGCTGGCCATGTAACCCTTGACAAGTTGATTAGCCTCAGTTTTCTCATCTTTAAAGTGGAGTGGGTAATGACAACATCATGGCAAGTTTATTGAGCAGTTTAATTGAGATATGTGTGCAAAGTCTTGTTTGGTGTTTAGCACATAGTAGATGCCCAAGGACTAGTAGCTATTATTATCTTCTCCTATTATTGGCTCATTTCAGTAATGCACATGAACAATTTATTTATTTTTATTTTTATTATTTTTTTAGACAGGGTCTTACTCTGTCGCAGGCTGGAGTGCAGTGGTGCAATGTTGGCTCACTGCAACCTTTGCCTCCCAGGCTTAAGTGATTCTCCTGCCTTGGCCTCCCGAGTAGCTGGAATTATAGGTGCGGGTACCACCACACCTGGCTAATTTTTGCATTTTTAGTAGAGATGAGGTTTTGCCAATTTGGCCAGGCTGGTCTCGAACTCCTGACCTCAGCCTTCCTCAACCACCAAGCCTGGCCCCAAAGCACATATTGTTTAATGTTAGGAGACTGTTATTAGATAATATTTGGAAATAGAGGGAAAAGAAACGAAGAAAATCTTTCTGATGGCCTCTCTTTAGAAACCACCTCCAACCAAGAGCCCAGCACTTCCTAGACCTCCCGTCCTTACTCCTGAACCCTTCAATCCATTCTTGACTCCATCTTCTCTCTTTTGCCCTGCTCTTGGCTACAGTCTTGCCTGATCATCTTCATCCCATCCATATCTTTTTTTACCCTGTGGCTACCTTACTGTTCTAACTCTGGCTCAGTCATTTCTCAGAGCTGCTTTCTTACAGTTACCTGTTTGGGGTAACCTTTGGAGACACCTAGTGCACTTCCTCCAGCCAGTGGGGAGATCCTTCCAGCTAATAAATATACTTTTTCCCAGGTGATTCTTATGGACAGAAACTAATCTACTCCCTAGTCTCTCCAAATTGCTAAATCTTGTTTTACCCACAATTACCACTTGAGTTTTAATTCATGTATATTAAAGTCTTTTTTGTTTTGTTTCTTACAGATTTTTCTTTCATACTATCATAGCATGTACACAGTTTTGTATTCTTTTAAAAACTCAACATGACATCAAATTTACTTGCAACTTAAGCTTCCAGTGAGGAAATATAAAAGAAGGTATTTTCTCATGTTGTTTCAATATGGTTCGGGCTCGAATCTTCATTAAAACATTGAAATAAAGTTCCCACAGGGAGTTATCTTCCTATAATCTCTTTTTGAAACAGTGGGGACACTATGATTCCATTACTGAGTAAGGCAAGGAGGAAGACCAGATTCATGTTACTCTTACAGGAAAAATGACAGTGAATAAGGGACTTGGGATAAAAAAAATCTCACAAAGGAAGAAAATCTTTTTTATGGCTTCCAAATCAGAAACTTCTCACTCCTGGCTGCACAATGTAATCCTTTGGGGCAGCTGCTGATGCCAGAGCTACTGATACCAGAGCCACGTCATCAGAGATTTGGATTGTACTGGTTTAGGGTGGGGCCCTGGCATCAGCGGGTTTTAAAAGCTCCCCAGGTGATGCTACTGTGCAGCCAGATTTGCAAATCACTATGCTGGGGAATACACTCTCAGTAGGAATAATTAGCAGGTTCCTAGGAAAACTGAAGCTGCCTTGATTGATTATGCAATTGATTAATTAATTTCTTCAATGAACATTCACTGGGTGCTTTCCACATGCTATGTCCTGGCTGGGCACTGGCGATACCTGGATGAATAACACATGGTCCCTGTTTTCATAGGTCAGAGCAGAGCTATGCTGTATCATCTTTGTAGCTTGGGGTGGACAGTTGTGGGACAAGGACCACACAAGGCTTCTAGATCTAAACTCAGAGCTCAGACCAAGACTGAAAAAAAACAAAAATTCAATTTTCCATTTAGAAGGCTCAAGAGAAATGGATTAACTTAAATGATTTGTAACTGCACTAAGGTGGGTACTATTAAGGACAACTACTGATTCCAGGCATCCGAATGCATGTCACCTTTCCCTAATGAATGATTTAACAAGGAAGACACATGCTAATGAAGACTAATTCCTTCTGGGGTATCTAAGAGTTTATGCTCTTTATCACCTTTACCCAAGAGTAAACAGCCACTTTCCCATTTCCTGGCAGAGAGAGATGGGAAAGCTCTGTTTGGCAATTGAAGAACAAGGGCAAGTGGCTTGAGATGGGGAATAGAAACTCTAATGTTATTAAATGATCTCTACACCAGCGCTGTCCAGTAGAACTTTTTGGGATGATGGAAAGTTCTCTATCTGTGCTGTCCAATACAGCAGTCAGTAGATACATGCGCACTTCAAATATGGCTAGCATGCCTGATGAACTAAATTTTAAATTTTATTACATTTTAATTATTTTTTATTTAATAGCCTCATGTGGCTAGTGGCTATAGTATTGGACAGCATGACTCCAGATAAAATATATTAAAAAATAAACTTCCAGTTAACTGGGTGCTTCCCAAATACTGGACATAGTCCTTGCTTATATATTTTCGATTCTTTTAAAGAATATCCTATATTTGCATTGACTGGAAGATTTCTATGGGAGAATTGATTTCTTCGCTGTGTCTAGACAGTACCATGAAATCAAATTCAGTTTGCAAAAACAGCAGACTTCTTCTAGCTGTAAGAGGTTTTTTTCTTTCTTTCATTGCTGGCGCTAAGTGAAAGCCAGATATTTGTGAGGTTTTTCAGAAGAAAGTGAAGATTCATGTTTCACATGGAAATCCATGAAGTTTCATTAGAACAGAAACAAAATGGAATCCCATTTAATGCCTAAATGTGCCAGGCCTACTGAGATTTTGGGGATCGGTGGTCTTGCTGGACTCAATGCCTTGATCTAATAGAGAAATTGGTGCTGCTTTGAGG